GCGGGCCGCCCGTCGCCGCGCATCGCACCGAGGCCCGAGGCGAGACTAAGGGGAGGCGAAAGGAGGGAGAAGGGGAGGGGGGGGGACACTCGCCCTCAGCCTGGGCGCCTCGCCTTGACCGTCGCCTTCGGCTTGAGAATCGTGGCGCCTATCCGCAGGATGCCCGCACGTAGACACCGAGGAACAGCACGCCCACTGTCTCCAGCTTCATCGCGACAGCACGAGCGGAAGCACGAAATACACAGGCATGAAGGCGGGTGCTGCACGAAAGCCCCGAAGTCCCTGCTCCTGGTCAGGTAGCTGGTGGGCATGGGCCTGATGCTCGCGTTGATCTCGGCGACCATCTCCTCCCAGTTCCTATCCAGGTCGTCCTCATACTGGGCTTCGAGGAAGCAAGACGTTTCTCCATAGGGATCGTCCCCAGCAGCGGCCACCAGCCGTCCAACCAAGCCGAAGCCTCCACCATGCACGAGTTCGCCACGACCAGGACGCACGGGTGCACGTGCGGGCCAGCGCCGACGACCTCGACGTGCGCCTTCTCGATCATGTGGTTGCTGGCCTGCTGCACGGACTGCGACATGCCGACGGACTCCCTAGGGTCTATCATCTCGCCGAGGGCCACTCCACCTACCACCTGGGCCTCCTGCTCCACGCAGGATGTCGGGGAAATCGCCTCCGCCTCTCCTCCAACCACCTGGGCGCGGCGTGGGGAGCCGACCACTCCTCCCTCCACCTGGGTCGGGCTCCTCCCTCGGACCTCTCCGCCAACCACCTGGGTCCTGGCCTCTCCTCCCGCCACCTGGGCCCTTCCCGACGCGGGGCTCTCACCTGCGAGTCCACCGCTGCAACACTCGGCCTCTCCTCCCACCACCTGGGCCTCCAGCACCACCATGGCGGCAGTAGCGCTGGCGGGCTCCACCGCCAAAGGCCACACCTTCGACGGGCACGCGTCCACCACCTCCACAGCTGCGTCGCCTGCGGAGCCGTACCCGAGCTCCTCCAACAGGAGCACCTCGGGAGGAACCTCCCAGACTCCAGGCGGCCGCAGCGGCCAGAAGGGAGCAGCATCACGACGGAGCCCGACACAATGACGGCGTACTTCCAGCCGAGGTCCCCCTTGGGCGTGCCTGAGCTCAGCGCACGAGGCATCCGCAAAGCGCAGACCTCCGCCATCAGCGTGGAGTGCCGTATTGCGACGTAGCACATCAAGATGCTCCGGAACCTGGCCGGCCAGCATCTTGCTCAAAAAGGGCACCGCTGCCAGCAGCCGATCGACCAGCTCACGGTCGCCTCCAGACACGAGCTCGACGGACTCGAGGAGCTCGACGAACTTGTCCTTCTGCGCCATCAGCTGGGTGTTCAGCCGTGCCACCTCGGCATGCGCTGCAGCGAGCCCGAGGTCAGCAGCAGCCTGCGCCCGCCGCCGTGCGGCCGAGCGCTCGGCACGCGAGCGCCGTTGACCTCCATGAGGATCGCCAGGCGGCGACCCTGCCCGCGCCATCCCAAGCGGTCCCGCGCGGCCGAAAGCGGGCGGAACACACGACTTGAGCCAAAATGGCTACGGAGGAGGAGGAGGAGGAGGAGGAGGACGAGGAGGAGGAGGAGAACGAAAAGGAGGAGGAGGAGGAGGACGACGACGAAAAGGAGGAGGAGGAGGAGGAAATGTCTGTGGACCCCATGCGGTCGGGAACGTTGGGGTAGCGCGTCGCCACGGCGGCCCAGGCGACACGCCGCGCAAACGTGCTCGGCCGTCCTTTGCTGATGCGTCGCCATCCGTACCCACAGATTGGCCATGGCAACCGCCCAGGCGCGTCAACGCCGGGCGTGACGCGCCCCCTCGCGCGCGCCGCCCTGGCAGCAGAAATCGCCGCCGCGCGCGGCGCCGACTTCGCGGCAGAGGCCACTGCGGCGCGCGACGAGGGGGCAGCGCACAGGCCTGACACCCACGGCGCACTGCCACCGACGTCGCAGCCAGGCGCGCGCAAGGAGCACGACAGGCGCGGGCCTGCGAGTTGCCGCAGAATTTGCGGACGCCTGCGCGGCGGCGCGGGCGCGGGCGCGCATCCCCCCCGCGGCCGCGCGCGCACCTGCGATCCCCGTCCGCGAAACGAAGGCGCGCCCGCGCGCGGACCTGCCCCGCGCGCGCGGACGCGCACCGCGCGCGGGCGCCTGCGCAGCCGCGCGCCGCCCCCCGCTGCCCCCCTTCAACGCGCGCCCGCGATCAGGCGAACTTGCGCGCCCACCCCAAACTGCTGACGGCAAGCGCCCGGGCGCGTCACTCCCAGACGTCGGGCGCCACGCGCCCCCTCGTGCGCGCTGCCCTTGCGGCAGAAACCGCCGCGGCGCGCGGCGCCGCCGTCGTGCCTGAGGCCACTGCGGCGCGCGGCGAGGGGGCAGCGCACGGGCCCGACGCCCGCCGCGACCCCCAACGCTGCACCCGACGACGCCGAACCACCCAATGCACATCGCGCGCGACGGTAGCGGCGCACAAGATGTCGACGCGCCACACGCGCGCGCGCGGACGCGCGGTCCGCCGGGCGGTGACCGAGGAAGCGGCGGGGCGGCCCAGATACTCCTCGGACGCCTTGGGCGACCAACCGCCTGCCCGCGGGGGGTCGCACAGCCTCGCGGACGGTCTCCGCGTGACCGCGCAATAGACACTTCGAGGCGGTAGCCTCCAGCACCGAGATGCCCGCGGCCCTGGGCGCTGACCTTGGCCGGTGCACGACTGCGGGCAGCGCTTTCACCGCCTTTTCTCGAGGTCCTGGCCGCTCGCGCCGACCGCCCTCCCGCCGCCCTCTCTCGGCCGCTCTCGGTTCGCTCTTCCTGGGCGGTGCCTCCCCGGCCGTCGCCCCCGCGACTGCGCCTCGCAGGCCCACTGGTCTCGGCGCTTCGCTTTCTCCCTGGGCCAGGCCTCGGCCCGCTGGGTCGGGCGCAACCCCATCCGCCCGGCCCCTGGCTGCACGGCCCCCGCCCCCGCCACGTTGCGCCCCGCGCCCCCCCTCGCGCCCGCGGCGCAGCGCCTGCCGCTGAGGTTGGACCGCTTGGCCTCCTCTCCTTGCACGCACCTCGCAGGCCCGCCGGTCTCGATGCCCTGGCCTCTCCCCGGGCAGCGCTCGATCCAGGGTTGGGCCCCGCTTCGCTTTCGCATCGCCGCCAGCTGCAGCTCCGGGCTGCCCCCCCCCCCCAGCTTCAGCTCAGCGTAGTTCAGCGCAGCCTGCGCCGGCGCTGACCCCCCCCCCCCCGCGCACGCATGCGCACGCACACGCGCACGCGCGCGCGTGCGTGTGAGGGTGCGCATGCGCGTGCGCGCGCGTGCGCGCGCGTGCGCGTGCGCGAGTGCGCGCGCGGTTTCGCGCGCGCGTGCGTGTGCGCGCGCGTGCGCGTGTGCGCGTGCGCGTGCCTGTGCGCGTGCGCGCGCGTGCGCGTGCGCGAATGCGCGCGCGGTTTCGCGCGCGCGTGCGTGTGCGCGCGCGCGCGTGCGCGTGCGCGTGCCTGTGCGCGCGCGCGCGTGTGCGTGCGCGTGCGCGTGCGTGTGTGCATGCACGCGTGCGCGTGCGCATGCGTGTGCTTGCGCGTGCGAGTGTGCGCGTGCGTGTGCGTGTGCGTGTGCGTGCGCGTGTGAGCGTGCGTGTGCACGTGCGCGTGCGCGTGTGCGTGTGTGTGTGTGCGTACGCGTGCGCGTGCGCGTGCGTGCGCGTGCGCGTGTGCGTGGTCGAGTGCGCGCGCGTGCGCGTGCCCGTGCGTGCGCGCGTCCGTGTGCGAGCGTGCGTGCGCGTGCGTGTGCGTGTGCGCGTGGGTGTGCGTGCGCGCGCGCGCGTGCGCGCGGGCGTGCATGCGCGTGCGCGCGTGCGTGTACGTGCGCGCGCGCGTGCGTGCGCGTGCGCGTGCGCATGTAAGTGCGTGCGAGTGCGCATGTAAGTGCGCGTGTAAGTGTGCGTGGGCGTGTGCGCGTGCTTGTGCGCGCGCGCGTGCGTGCGCGCGTGCGCGTGCGCGCGCGGGTGCGCGCGCGCGTTTGCGCGCGCGTGCGTTTGCATTTGCGTGCGTGTGTGAGTGCGCGTGTGCGTGTGCGCGCGCATGTGCGTGCGCGCGTGCGCATGCGCGCACGCGTGCGCGCGCGCGCGTGCGCGCGCGCGAGTGCGGGCGCGGGCGCGCGCAGGCGCGCTCGCGCGGGCGCGCCACTCCGCCTCGTCGCCGCGCCCGAAGCCGCCACCGCTCAAAAGCGCTCGCGCGCGTGTCTGCGCGCGCGCCTCGCCAGGCCAGGCGGCCCGTTCCAGACGCCCAAGGCCGCCCCGAAAAAATGCGTCGCCTCTTGGAGAGGCGATGCGACTTCCTTTTGTTGGACGCCACTCCTACTCCCAAGGAAGTTCCGCGGGGGCAATGAAAAAAAAGCAACCGCTGAACATCGCGGCGCACACCGAAGTCGGACGGCGCCCTATAGGAAGGAAGGCGCGAGGAGGCGAAGGCGGACGCGCCGCAGCCCCGCCCGCGCACCCTAACCTCTGCGGGGGCCGCACCGCGGGGCGCCCCCCCCCCCCGCCCCCCCCCGGCGGAGGCGCGCAGCCCCCGCGAAGCGGCCCGGAAACTGACCTCGAGAAAACGGGGCCCCAACACCACTTGAAATAACTGGGCGGGGCCCCGAGGTCCAAAACTGAAGTGCTTACTTAGAGAGCGCCGTCTATCCAGGAGGGGGTCGGGGACGGCCCGGACGGGGAGGGATCGAACGTGGAGGGAAGTAACGAGACCTCGACACTCTCTGTACTCTGTCTCTGCTAGCCCCGCTCACTTCCGCTTCTGCTTCCTCTCCCCCCGTCTGCTTGCTCGGGCCGCCCTTGAACGCGAGCGATTCCGCCATCTTCGCGGCCCCGCTCCTCGTCGCGATGTCGCGTGCGAGGTGAATGCCCGCAGCTGCGAGCGCGCCATTCTCGCGGAGCACAGTCAGGGCCAGCCTGTACTTTGGGCAGTGGTTGAGCGCGAAGATCCACCTGACCTCGCTGTCCTCATGCACGTCCTCGTCGCCCTTCGGCTGCCCTGTCTTCGCGCTGCAGCAACGCGCGACCGCGAACTTGGCCGCAGGGCCCTGTACCTTCCTGCCCATGCTGATCAGCGCCACCAGCGCTTCCATGGCCCATGCCGGGCCCGAGCCCCGCTCGGCCGCCGCCATCACCTGCTCTTTCTTGTCCCCCCACCGGCTCCGCAATGCGGAAGATCACCGCCTTCGCCAGGGCGTCTGGGCGCTTCCCCGGCGGGTTGCCCATGTAGACAGCCCCTTCCTCCTTGGACTTCTCTTTGGCTTTGCGGCCCTCGTCCTCGCAGTGCGTAAACGCCTGGTCCAGCGCGGTCTCCAGCTTGCTCATCGGCTCGAGTTTCATCACGAAGTTGTCGTCGCGGTGGGCTGCCCTCGCCATGTCTTCGCGTTGCGGCGCCAGTCGCGCCAGCGCCTTGCCGAGCGGCCCCACGACGTCGCCCTCGACCTTGTCCTCGCCCGCGCCGACCACGGCCGCCGACGGCCGCTCCTGGCCGCTGCTGCTCGCTGCCTGCACCTCGCAAGTGGGCTCGAACATCTGGGCCGGCCGCTGCAGCACCGAGCTGGGCTAGCGGTAACGCGCGGCCTGGAGCTGCCACCGGCACACCTTGAGCCTCAACGCCTTCGGGACGGGCAGTACATCGACCATGAATGGTGTGCCTGACCAGCGTATCATTCGTCGTGAAGTGTTTAGCGCAGTGGGGGCATCTTTTTTGTTTCAAACAGTCATCAGTGAGGATCATCGCTGTCGAATTCGCATGCACCTGATGGACGGCACGTTTGTGGTTGGCCAGCCCCTTCCCTCCTTTGCACTTTTCCCCCCCCCCCACACACACACACACACACACACGCACATCACAGTCCAACCACACATCAGCAGGTGGTTCCGTCGCAGAGGTAGCGTCGCCAAGAGTGAACTCTCGGCGATAGCTTTCGACCCCAAAGAGGCCAGCCACTTTAACCATGACCTGGCCAGTTCTGGGAAATCTCCATGCAGTAGGTAGCGACGTCGTGATTCGAGCTGCTCGAGGGCCTTATAGGTCAGACACAAATGTCGCATGTCCTCTTTCAAAACGGCCAGCATGACCGTCGGCCCCTCCGGCGTCGCACTCTCAAAAGAGAGTCTGCCAAGGATGATAGCGCGCACAGCACGGGTCGGGTCGTACAGTTCTGCTGCGGACTCACGAAAAACTGGTCATGGTACTTGGCGCCACCATTTCAGCCGCCTCCTCAAAATGGTGCTCTCCACGGTGGAGACTCTGGCCGACTTCCTGATCTCGCGGTTGGTATTATTGTGCGGTGTGCTGGTGAATGAAGTAGCCCTCGGATGTGCGAACTTGCCATGCTTCCAGTCGCACTAGCTCCCGCTTGGGGAAAGATTCGCCACCTCCAGGCAGCACAGGCAAACTGAACGCACCAGAGATTTCCACAGTCTGATCTTCTGCTTGGGGCTAAACCCCCTACGAAAGGCGCGTCGTAGTAGTCTAGCGTGGGCCGTGCTCGCCGCTTGGATCCTGTGGGTCACCTCGATCTGGTAGCTGCCAGTGGCTGCCAGCTGCACGCCTAGGTACTAACCGTCGGCTGAGGGTGGATCGAGAAGCAGTCTTCGCATTGCCAAGTGCCAATACCTATCGTACGAGCCCTGATGCGCTTCTGCCTCTTCTTGCTACCCACCCCCGACGGTATCAGGAGAAGTTCGGTCTTCTGCCCGTTGATGTACATGCCGCCATGCCCAATCTCACCATTGATAATTTCCAAGAAAGTGGAGGCGTCATCGAATTCGTCAACTTCCGTGAACGTGAGAAGGTCATCTAGAAACTTGTGCGAATGTGGGCGTGTGCGTGTGAAGGCGTGCGTGCGTGCGTGCGTGCGTGCTTGCGTGCATTACTCCGTCTCGTCGCTGCGCGCGAGGCCGCTACCGCTTAAAAGTGTGTGTGTGTGTGTGTGTGTCTGTGTGTGTGCGTGCGTGCGCGCCTTGCCAAGCCAGGTGGCCCGTTCCAAACTCCCAGGGCCACTCCCAAAAAATGTGTTCCGCCGGCTTCCGCCAGCCATCCGCTGGCTTCCGCCAGCGGAGCCGCCGCCGTTTTACCTCCGCCGCCCTCCGCCGGATTCCCGCCGGGGAAGACATGCCAACGCTGGCATGCCGCGTCTCTCAGGCATCGGAAGGGTACCCTTCCGATGCCTGAGAGACGCGGCCCTCGCTGGGGCGCCCCAGGCGGGCATGTCCTGCGATACCCGGGCCCGGGACTGGCCTGGCCATGGGCTGATGCCTGTGGGCAGCTGGCGGCGCCCTCCACACTGTCGGTTGCGAGGCTGGTTTTGCGCGGTCGGACAGCGCGCCCTTGGAGCCGACCCCCCCGCCGCGGGGCCCTGCGGGCGGCCGGAGGGCCCCTCTCCCCAGTCCTTCACGAGAGGTAGAGCCCCGACAGGACCTTTGCGTCCGTGGGCAGGGGCCTGTCCTGGGCGAACCAGGAGCTACTGATGCGGCTACTCCCCAGACCCCTCTCCGGGGGAGGATTTCGAGGTGAATCCAGCGGTGGCGACGAGGGCCTCGAAGGAGGCCCAAAAAGGCAAAAACGAAGGAAGAGTAGCGGTACCCGTACCTTTTCCGCCCCTGATGTCCCGGGCCCAGACGTTGACCGCAACCTTCTCCACGCCCTCGGCCACGAGGGGGCGCGCCTCGTGCAGCGTCTCCGGCAGCGGCCTGCCCCCGGCGTCCACGTTCGGCCACACCAGGGCCGCCCCCGCCATCGGGGCCACGGAGAGGCCGAGCTGCGGGAACCAGGTCTCACCGCCGGCGCCCGCGGGGAGGTCCCCCAGGTACACCAGCGCCGTCGCCACCCGCTGCCCCAGCAGCGCCAGCTGTGTGTCCGAGGGGTCCACGGTCCAGTCCACGTGTGGCTCGAAGGTGTCCCCGGGCCGGCAGTAGCGCACCATGCGCATGGGCTCCAGGTAGGCCTCCTCGAGCCCCATGGCCTGCGCCAGGCGTGCGCGCAGCCTCGCGGCGGCGGGCACCGCCGCGGGCACCCCCGCGGGCTCGCGGCGGCGCTGTGGGCCCACCGCGTCGAACAGCGCCGCCGCGCGCAGCTCTGCGGCGCCGTCGGCGCCGACTACGCCTTCCAGCAGCCGCACCGGCGGCGCCTCTGCGAGCGTCCTGCCCGCCGCACCGCCCCCGCGCAGCGCGCCCCACACCCTCCGCGAGGGGCCCGGCCGCGCCCACAGGCGGCGCTCCGCCGCGGCCGGGGCCAGCCAGTCTGGCAGCCCCGCGGCCGGGTCCACGGCGCGGCCAGCGCCTCGCCAGGCCGCAGCGCCGCCGAAGGCCGAAGGAGGGCCGCCGAAGGTCGCCGAGCGATCGGCGGCCGCCCTGCTGCGGCATACCGCGGCGCGGCGGCGCCGCCAGTGCGCCTCGCCGGGCCGGAGCGCCGCCGCCGCCGCCGCGCCACGCGGCGCCGGCGCCCACGGGCCGCGCGCCGCCGCGGGCGGCAGCCACCCGGCCAGCAGCGCCGCGGCTGGCGCCGCCGCAGCCGCGGCGCGCGCGGCGCGGCGCGGCGCCATGTCGCGTGGTCGCGCGACGCGGGCGTCCATGCCCTCTCGGGCTGAGCTCTCGGCGGCTTGGGCCTGGGACTCGGCGCGGAGGCTACTGCGCGGAGGACCCAGGCTCGAAGTTCGCGGATCGAGGCTCGAAGATCGAGGCTTCCGCGCGTCCTTGGGCCTCCCGCGGCGCCCTCGTGGCAACGGCTGGATCCCCCGTGAAATTCTAGCCAGGATGCAGCCCAGGACAAGTCTGGGAGTCTGCAAGGCGAAGAGGGACATCTGCCCACACAAGGCGCTCGTGGTCAGTAACCGCGGCGTGGAGGCATTCTCAAATCATCCCGTTGGAGGGTCAACTTCTCGTTGTCATAGTGCATGCCAGGGCGACGGGAAGCCGCGCGACGGGAAGCTGACACGAAACTTGCTCTATAGCTGGCGCCCTCTTGTTCCTCCCCCCTCCTACTCCCCCTCATCCTCCTCCTCGTCCTCCTCCTCGTCCTCCTTGTCCTCCTCGTCCTCCTCCTCCTCCTCCTCCTCCTCCTCCTCCTCGTCCTCCTCCTCCTCCTCCTCCTCCTCCTCCTCCTCCTCCTCCCCCTCCTCCTCCCCCTCCCTCTGCGATCGTAATCCTCCGTCTCTTCCTCTCCGCCCTCGTGCGAGCCGTCGCCCCGGACCTCGTCCTGCCCGCCTCCCCCCCCAGAACCCCGACGTCTTGATCTTTCGGGCACCGAAGCCCCTGCAGTCCCGACCCGTTCCCCAGGGCCGGGGTTCCTGAGCAGTTGTTTGACGGGGCCGAGGCCTGGCGAGGGCCCCCAGAGTACGAAGACTGGCAGAGACCGTCCGCCCAGATTCTCCTCACCACGAGAGAGGGGCGCTGGAACATCGCTGACGGCGAGGCACCGAAACATGGTCGGCTCCCTGGCCCTACCATCATCCTGCCATCATCGCGAAATCCTGCGCACGTTCGACGACTACTCGCGAGCGCAGCCATCGTGATGCGATGGGAAAGGCCAGATAAGGAACGAAAGGAAGTTTCTGACAACGGCAAGCCTCGGTCACGAATGGGTTCCCCAGCCCATGTCTAAGGAACGGCCAAAAAAACATAGCCCCTCCTAAAGCCGACGTGATCCTTAATTATCGTCTTTGATGTACCCTGGTCACGCACTTCTTTCACCCTTGCAACTCGAAATCGGCAACGCAGAGGCAAGAATGACTGCCCCTGGCCAGAGACTGATGCGACGGTCACATCGAGAATGACACTGGTGCGCCACGGGCGCCTGGGAACAGGCGTTTGGAGAAGGGGCGACAGAACCAGGAGAGAGGCAGGAGGAAGGAGAGAGGGGGGTGGAGGAGGAATGGGAAGAGGAGGAGAAGCCGTCGAGACATTCATGGGCACGCCGCCCTCACAAAATCATGAGCTCCCCCTCCCCATCCTCCGCCACCACCTGCCATTTCCCCCCCTCCGCTCCACCTCCTTGGATCATGATATTCGGGAACAGTCTCGGGCGCTGGATCCTGGTATCTTGAGGGCTGCTACGCTGATGGTGGCTATCCCTCCTCCTGTAGGGCTGTATGGCCCCTCTCCTGATCCTCACGAGGCCCCCGAAGGTGATCTCGAGGTGCCCCCACTGCGGGCGGCGATCTGGCAGTGCGACCTGCCGAACTCGGAGGGGACGGTCTGCGGGAGGATCTTCACGACTAGGCGTGCCCTTCTTGCCCATCAACGGTTCTCTAAAGGTGGTGGGCACTCCTGTAGGCCTGTACTGCACACCCTCACCGTGACTAACGAGTGTTTTGTTTGTGGGCAGAGCTTTCGTACAAGGCGTATCGCTCAAGAGCATGCGGTGCAGGCGGTCCTGAAAGGCAGGTGTCCCCCGTACGTCACCCCGTTCCAGCACCCCGTCCTGGACCCCGAGAGCCTTTGGTGCCCCCTGGCTGACCTTTCCCGTGCGACGATCTCTAGGGGCAACGTCGTTGGGGCCCCTGCGATGTGTTGTAACCGTACGGAGC